CTTCAGCACGTCCGCCGCCCGCTGGCAGCTGGCCCTCTCAACTTCCCCACGACCTCGCGAGGGTAGACACAGTTACCGACGCCGTCCAAGTAGCCGTAGATCGCACGTTCGAGCTTGTTCACCCAGGGTAGGTCGTGGTTTCCTCGCAAGCGGCGCGTCGTTGCGCCGCTGGCACACGTTCGGAGCAACGCGGAGTTTGCCCCTGCCGACCTGCCCGGTGCGCGCACCTCTCGAGGCCGCCCTGTGAGCCAGACGGCACTGGCCGCCGCAGAGGCGCCGTCTGCGCCGCCGCAGAGGTGGAAACGTTCGTCCTGCTGGTCTGGCCACAGTGCCGCGTCGCCCCAGACCCTTGCGGTGCGGCACTCGGCGCCTGGCCAGCGAGCTGGGAAGGCCTCCCTCTGCCCTCATGCCTCCCCCCTCCTCCGTCCTCCGTCCTTCCTTCTCCGTCCCCCGTCTTCCGTCCTCACTCCTCTCACCTCCCTCCGCCCACCTCGCCTTTCCATCCTCCAGCTCTCTCTCCTACCTCCTCTCTTCTTCTTCTCTCTCTCTCTCCCCCCCTCTCCCTCCTCCCTTCGGCCTCCCTCCTCCCTCCTCCCTTCGGCCTCGGCTCCAGGACCATCTCGCCTACGACTCCGCAAGATGCTGCCTCTCGCACCTCATGCATGGCATGCAGCTATCAGCCTCTGCGGCGGAGGAAGCAGCAGAAAGGGGTCGCCAGCACGGCCAAGGCCAGCGAAAGGCTGGTCTAGGGCGGCGGAGGGCGGCGCACCCAGCTATTCCAGCACGGTGTGCCGACGGTATGCTATGGGAGTCTGCCTGGGTATTCTCACATTTGATGTGAATGAAGCCAGATACTGCGGATGCAGGGTCATTTGAGTTCAGAGTAGACCTGCCATATGATTTCTGGGAAGCCTCAGACTTCGCCGCACGCACCGCGATATCCAGGAAGCGCGGTGACCCCGAAGTTAGCGGTTGGTTTCTCCCCCGTCCTCGCCTCCTGCTGGCTCCTCGCCCTCCCCGGCCGAGGAGTCCGGCCACCGCCGCAGGACCATCCGCCGGCGGCCAGAGCTGCCATCTCCCAGCCCTACAAGGCCGGGGATGAAGATGTTGATGTTCTTCCCCATTCCTTCTTCCCCGCTTCGCCTCCTTCGGCGCCTTCCCCTCCCCCGCCCCCTTCCCCCGTCCTCGCAGGCGGCCAGTTGGCAAGGATTGCAGCCAACCGCTCTGCGGCCAGAGATCGACGCCGCATGCGTGTCGCCCCATGGTCTGGTCAGCTTTGTGTCAACTTTTAACTCTGCGAGTTGCCCTGGGCCCTCTCTTCCTCTGCAGGTCCCAGGGATCCTCCCAACGGAGTTTTCTAGAGTTGAGCACGTCTTCGCGACGCTGCCATCGTCCGCCGCCGCCGCCGCCTCCCTCAGCTCCCCGCTCGTGCTCCCTCTTGGCCCCTCTCCGGAGCGGCTGCGCTCGCGCGTGGGCAGGTGGCCCAGAGGAACATGCCCGCGGGCTCCCTCATCCTGGCAGTGGGCGCCCGCCCCCCCCGCCCCTGCGAGGGCATGGGGGGGGGGGAGGATGGGGCGGGAGGAGGAGGAGGAGGAGGAGGAGGAGGAGGAGGAGGAGGAGGAGGAGGAGGAGGAGGAGGAGGAGGAGGAGGAGGAGGAGGAGGAGGGGGATGAGGAGGAGAGGAGGATGAGGAGGAGGAGGAGGAGGAGGAGGAGGAGGAGGAGGAGGAGGAGGAAAAGGAGGAGGAGGAGGAGGACCAGTGTAAACCCAAGAGTCACCAACGATGTTGGAATACACCCTCCCCCCGCGCTTCCTGCAACGGTTCAATGCCACAGGGGGACCTGCCGCGTTGGAAGACAACCGTTTGAAGACCTTGAAGCATGCCAAAACATCATCCTCGGTATTCCAACGCCACGGATGAACCTGGCTGTTACGTCTTGACGATCCTGGATCGTGCCAGAACGCCATTCCTTGGACTTTAACTCCGCGAATCATCGTAAGTGTTGCGCCTTCAAAATCGCGATCATGTGAATCAGTGAAGCTCTTGCAATTTTCAAAACGAGAATGTGCGCGGCGCTCATGCGAGAGCCATATTTTGAAAAGGGACCGCCCTCAATCCGTGAATCTCTTGCAGATTTGAAAACGAATTTGCGCGGCTCTCAGGCGAAAGCCACATTTCGAAAAGGAACCGCCCTCAATCCGTGAAGCTCTTGCAACATTTACAAAACGAATGTACGCGGCGGTAAGGCGAGAACCACATTTCGAAAACCACCCGCCCTCAATCCGTGAAACTCTTGCAGATTTTAGAAACGAATGTGCGGTGCGCTAAGGTGAGAGCTACATTTTGCAAACCACCCGCCCCCATTCCGTGAAGCCTTTGTAAGTTTTTAAAACGAATGTGCGCGGCGCTAACGCGAACACCGCATTTTGAAAAGCACCCGCCCTCAGTCCGTGCAACTCCTTGCAACAATTTAAAACGAATGTGCGCGGCGCTAAGGCGAGAGCCACATTTTGAAAACGACACGCCCTCCATCTGTGAAACTGTTGCCAATCTTTAAGCTTCAGGGTCACAAGTGGTGAGGAAGTCTCAGGCGAAACGCTCGGCCCGCCCTCAAAACTGGCCTCGGGTTGCGACAGGAAAAAGTTATTTATGAGGAGAAGCAGTGGAGGAGGAGGGAGGAGGGAGGAGGAGGAGGATGAGGAGGAGGAGGAGGAGGAGGGAGGAGGGAGGAAGAGGAGGATGAGGAGGAGGAGGAGGAGGAGGAGAGGGGAGGAGAGGAGGAGGAGGAGGAGGAGGAGGAGGAGGAGGAGAGGAGGGAAGGAGGAGGAGGAGGGAGGAAGGAGGAGGAGGAGGAGGAGGAGGAGGAGGAGGAGGAGGAGGAGGCGTGAACACAGAGGGGTCAAGGGCAGAGGAGGTGGTGCCTCGACCTTCCCCCCCTCCGCGCTTCCTCAGCCCCCCCCTCCTCCTCCTCCTCCTCCTCCCCCTCCTCCTCGTCTTCCTCCTCCTCCTCCTCACCCCTCCTCTTTTGCATCCACCTCTGCCCTCTCCCTTTCCTTTCCTCCGTCTTTCCCCATCCCACTCATCATCCTCATCCGCGGCCTTGGCCTCAGCGTCAGCCTTGCCATCACCTCCACAATCAAATGCACTCGTTGAGAAACCTTGCGACATGGCATCGCCGACGTGTTTGCGGATATCCACGAGCAGTCAAGCAATTCTCCTGACCCATCTCCGCCGCCACAGGCACCGCAGGATAGAAAATCTAACGAAGGCCATCTCGTATGTCAAGGGCAAGTTAAGAAGGCCCCAGGTACCAAGAGGCTCAACAATGACATTTTCAAAACTTGTTCGGTGGAGTTTAGGGACGTGCCACTGTGCGATCAGACGCGATGCCGCCCGAATAATGAAACAACGTCATGATACACTTCATACCTACGTCAGGGGACCTACTGGCCGATGCTCGCCATCCGGTACAAGCTGTCCAGCCGCTTCCCCTACAACCGACTGCAGCCTGTGCTCGACAAGGGGCAGACCGACGCCCAACCAAGCTTTCGACCAGGGTTCTCCACGATTGAGCGCCCCTTCGCTTCAAATTCAATGTTATGCGCGAGAGGGCCCGAGAGCGGAACCAATCATTAAGCATCGCGGCTTTTGATGTCCACAAAGCGTTCGGTTCGGTTGGGCACAGCAGTGTATATGCAGCTACGCTTACATAGGATGCGATACAGCGGTGCGTGCATACACCCCGACGTTTTTACCGTGGAGAATGTGCCACTGTACGAACCGATGTGTCGAGTCGCTAGTTCAGCCTCCCCTGTGGCACTAAACAAGTTGATCCACTCAACTCGTTGCTCTTCAATTTGGTCCTTTGATCTGTCATGAAACCGTTGGTCGGAAAGTAACAGGCTAAGAAGTCAGATGCAGTCGTCATCCTGCCACGTCTCCGCCTTCTCGTCCCCGTCCTCCTCGTCACGCTCATCTTCATTCTCGCTCTTCGTCGTCATCAGCATCCTCATCCTCATCCCCCCCGTGCCATCGCTTCCGCACTCGGCCTTATCTTCTGCTTCATCGTCATCGTACTATTCGACCTCGTTCCTATCCGCATCCGTGTTATAGAAGAGTATGGTCGTCAACGAAGAATAGGGCCTGCCAGCAACTGCCCCACGGACATGACTCATGTCCTGATGGCCCCATAAAACCCGTGGGTCAGGGCTGTCTGCATAGCCCAATCTAGAGGAGTGTGCGCCTTTCATGTCTTCCAGCTAGATTTCTCATCCCATGTTTCCGATGTGTTCAGCCTTATCCTCCTCATCCACTTCTGCCCTTTTCCTGCACAGGCGTGAGGTGGGTGTAGAAGGGGGCATGTTGCTCAGCGCTAGACGGGCGACGGCCAGGAGAGGGACCCTCATATTCCGCCCGCCCGCAGATCTTGTTCCGATCAAGCCCATGTACGGAGTGACTTGCATCCAGTCCGACATCACTTCGGAGTGCAGCAGGAGGATGAGGATGCGGATGAGGATGATGAAGTATTAGTCGTACGGGTGGGTGGGGGAACGCATGCCCGTAGAGAGCTGTTGGCTCACCTACGTTTCTGGAGAGGCGGAACGGTCGGACGGGACAATTGAAAATGGCGGCTTTCATGCGAGGCCAACAATCTAATGGTTTTCGGCCCATCCCGCCACTGCGCCCTGGTCGAGTTCTGGACGTCTTCGGGATGTTCGTGGGGCTCTTCGAGGGCCCGTCGGGGGGCTCCCTGGGGGCCTCTGTGGCTTACTGCGCCTGGGAGCGTTCTGTGGGCCTCTTGGGTGCTCGGGATCAGGTTGGTGGGGTCGGGGGTTGGCTTGCAGCGGTGCGACGGTGGCGCGCTCTTTGAGGCCCTCTTGGGCCATCCTGGGCCAGTCTTGGGGGCCTCTTGGGTCGATTTGGACGCCCTGGCGACCGACGTGACGAGTACTCTGAGACTTTTCAAACACCTGAAAGAGGTTCATCCGATTTTGGTATCCTGGGCCAGTCCTGGAGCCTCCAAGACGGCCGGCGAGACTCCCCGGAGCCACTTTGGCTCAAGCTATTTTGACTCACGCCGATCTGATAGTTCGATTGCTGAGCAAACCGAGCGTGTGGGGGGGAGGGTTACTTCATGAGCTGCGAATCTGGAGGCTCGCTGTCCATTCTCACGTGGAATGTTGCAGGCTGGGCGCCGACGTCTGCGCTCATTGCCAGTCACTATGGCGACCTCGCTGAGTATTTGCAACGGCTGCAGTGCGACGTGCTCTGCATTCAAGAGTCCAAGGTGCTCACATCGCAGTTGACCTCCGCACCTCAGGACAGCCTTGGGGCACGGAGTGCCCCAGGCTGGCAGAGCTACTGGGCTTTCAATCGGGGCAAGAGCAAAGGATCCAATGGGGTTGCGACGTTTGTGCGCGATGGGCCCGCTAGTCTGTCGGTCCGGAGTGCCACACAAGACGTGCTCGGCGACAAGGATTTGGACGACGAAGGTCGGTGCATATTGACTGAGCACGGGAAGGATGGGGCCCTCTGTGTGATTAACGCTTACGCGCCCGTTAGCAAAATGCATGACGACACGAAGGCGGGCGTCGCGTCTGCTGCTGCTGGTCGTAAGCTTCGTTTCCTCGTGGCCTTGCGTCGTCGGATGGATGCACTCCGGGCGGCTGGGCGTCGCGTTCTGCTTGTGGGTGATCTCAACCTTACGTGGCGGCCAGAGGATTGCCGGCTCGAGAGACGCCTTCTTTATGTGGATGGGGATGGGAAAGTTATCAACGGCCCTGTGGATCTCCAGACGCGCTCCGAAGACTCAGAGGATGCAGCACAGCAGAAACTGGAAGATCTTGCGGGGACTTGGTCTAGCGTTCATCAGCTGAGCTCGAAATTGGGTGTGCCTGCTGCATCTTTTCAGGGCTGTGGCAAGTCTTATCATTGTGTGAACGAGCCAGAAGCTGCTGAATGGTTGAAGGACTTGGTATCTGGGTCTTGGGTCGATGTCTTCGCAGAGGTTCATGGCGCAGCTGCGGATCGGTTCACGTGCTGGAGCCAGCAGACTAACATGCGTTATTCTAATTCTGGTGCGCGGCTAGACTACGCTATCATTGACCGCCGTTCTTGGGAGGAGGGCTGGGTAGTGCGAAGTTCTTCAGAATTACTTCCAGGCGGCTCAGAGGATTGCAGTGCTTTACAGGCTCAGGCTGCACTCAATGCAGCAACGCACTTTGGGCAATGGCACGCCAGCGCCACCAAGGGAAATGCGAGGGGCGATGGCCTCAGTCTCCAGCGCGATGACATGCGCTTGAACGACAGCCAGTTTCCAAAGCAGCGGCACACCGGGCTGATCTACACACCACCTGCATATTCCGATCACATTCCCGTGTGCATCCTGCTCGACCCGAGGGCGTGCGCAGCACTGGAAGGCGGAGCGGGTGGCGCCGCGGATTCAGGAGCGCCAAGGCAGGCGCTCTGTACAAGCACGGAGACCCGTACCTGCCAGCCGTGGCTGAAGCAGCAATCGATCTCGTCGTTCTTCGGCGCCAAGAAGCAGAAGGTGAGTTGACGACGTTTGCCAGCCGTTGTCGTCCTGGTGTGGCGACTTCGAGGTACCGCTGCTAAACACAGAATTAGCCTGGCGAAGGACCTAGCCACATGCAGTTGTGAGTACCCTCGTTGTATATACCGCATCCGAAGGAGCTTGCTATAGGGCCATGAAACGTGTGAGGGGTGTGCCATGTGTCCGGTGGACGCATGCGAAAGCAGCCGCTGGGGCCGTTGGTGGAACTCCCTATGGGGCCACGAAGCGCGTGAGAGGTGTGCCGAAATTGGTGCGGAGGGCGCATGCCAACGCAGCCATTGGGGCCGTCGGTGGAGCTCCCCATGGGGCCGCGAAACGTGTGATGGGTGTGCCGAAATGGGTGCGATGGGCGGGCGCATGCGAACGCAGCCACTGGCGCCTTTGGTGGAGCTCCCTATGAGGCCACGAAGCGTGTGAGAGATGTGCCGAAATGGGTGTGCGTGACGCATGCGGGCGGTGGCACTGGGGCCTTCGGTGGAGCTCCCTGTGGGGTCACGAAGCGTGTGAGGGGTGTGCCGAAATGGGTGTGCGTGACGCATGCGGGCGGTGGCACTGAGGCCTTCGGTGGAGTTCCCTGTGGGGTCACGAAGCGTGTGAGGCGTGACGCATGCGGGCGGTGACACTGGGGCCTTCGGTGGAGCTCCCCGTGGGGCCACGAAGTGTGTGAGGGGTGTGCCGAAATCAGTGTGCGTGACGCATGTGGGCTGTGGCTCTGAGGCCTTCGGTGGAGCTCCCTGTGGGGTCACGAAGCGTGTGAGGGGTGTGCCGAAATTGGTGTGCGTGACGCATGCGGGCGGTGGCACTGGGGACGAAGCGGCGTGAGGGGTGTGCCGAAATGGTGTGCATGACGCATGCGGGCGGTGGCACTGGGGCCTGCGGTGGAGCTCCCTGTGGGGTCACAAAGCGTGTGAGGGGTGTGCCGAAATGGGTGTGCGTGACGCATGCGGGCGGTGGCACTGAGTCCTTCGGTGGAGCTCCCTGTGGGGTCACGAAGCGTGTGAGGGGTGTGCCGAAATGGGTGTGTGTGTGTGACGCATGCGCGGTGGCACTGAGGCCTGCGTGCGGTTCCTGCAGTGTGGGGGTCACGAAGGTGTGATGCGTGACGCATGCGGGCGGTGCACTGGGGTTTCGGTGGAGATCCCCGTGGGCCACGAAGCGTGTGAGGGGTGTGCCGAATCAGTGCGGTGACGCATGCGGGCTGTGGCACTGGGGCCTTCGGTGGGGCTCCCTGTGGGGCCACGAAACGTGTGAGGGGTGTGCCGAATTGGGTGTGCGGGACGCATGCGGGCGGCAGCACTGGGGCCTTCGGTGGGGCTCCCTATGGGGCCACGAAACGTGTGAGGGGTGTGCCGAATGGGGTGTGCGGGACGCATGCGGGCGGCAGCACTGGGGCCTTCGGTGGGGCTCCCTATGGGGCCACGAAAGCGCTGTGAGGGGGTGCCGAAATGGGTTCACGATAGTTGCGTGACACATGCGGGCGGTGACACTGAGTCCTTCGGTGGAGCTCCCTGTGGGGTCACGAAGCGTGTGATGGGTGTGCCGAAATGGGTGTGCGTGACGCATGCGGGCGGTGGCACTGAGGCCTTCGGTGGAGTTCCCTGTGGGGTCACGAAGCGTGTGAGGCGTGACGCATGCGGGCGGTGGCACTGGGGCCTTCGGTGGAGCTCCCCGTGGGGCCACGAAGCGTGTGAGGGGTGTGCCGAAATCAGTGTGCGTGACGCATGCGGGCTGTGGCACTGGGGCCTTCGATGGAGCTCCCTGTGGGGTCACGAAGCGTGTGAGGGGTGTGCCGAAATTGGTGTGCGTGACGCATGCGGGCGGTGGCACTGGGGCCTTCGGTGGAGCTCCCCGTGGGGCCACGAAGCGCGTGAGGGGTGTGCCGAAATGGGTGTGCATGACGCATGCGGGCGGTGGCACTGGGGCCTGCGGTGGAGCTCCTGTGAGGCCACGAAGCGTGTGAGGGTGTGGCCAAATGAGTACGTGCGTGACACATGCGGCGGTGGGCACTGAGTCCTTGGTGAAGCTCCATGTGGGGTCACGAAGCGTGTGAGGGGTCTTGTTGGCTGTACTGGGTCGGCGTGACGCATGCGGGGCGGTGGCAACATCCGGTCTTCGGTGGAGCTCCGGTGTGGTCACGAATCGTGTGAGTCGTTACTCCGTGACGCATGCGGGCCGGGTGACACTGGGCCTTCGGTGGAGCTCCCCGTGGGGCCACGAAGCGTGTGAGGGGTGTGCCGAAATGGGTGTGCGTGACGCATGCGGGCTGTGGCACTGGGGCCTTCGGTGGAGCTCCTTGTGGGGCCACGAAGCGTGTGAGGGGTGTGCCGAAATGGGTGTGCGTGACGCATGCGGGCGGTGGCACTGGGGCCTTCGGTGGAGCTCCCGGTGGGGCCACGAAGCGCGTGAGGGGTGTGCCGAAATGGGTGTGCATGACGCATGCGGGCGGTGGCACTGGGGCCTGCGGTGGAGCTCCCTGTGAGGCCACGAAGCGTGTGAGGGGTGTGCCGAAATGGATGTGCGTGACACATGCGGGCGGTGGCACTGAGTCCTTCGGTGGAGCTCCCTGTGGGGTCACGAAGCGTGTGATGGGTGTGCCGAAATGGGTGTGCGTGACGCATGCGGGCGGTGGCACTGGGGCCTTCGGTGGAGTTCCCTGTGGGGTCACGAAGCGTGTGAGGGTGACGATGGGGCGGTGGACTGGGGCTTCGGTGGAGCTCCCCGTGGGCCGAAGCGTGTGAGGGGTGTGCCGAAATGGGTGTGCGTGACACAGCGGGCGGTGACACTGGGGCTTAGGGGAGCTCCCGTGGGGCCACGAAGCGTGTGAGGGGTGTGTGGGTGTGCGTGACGCATGCGGGCGGTGGCACTGGGGCTTTCGGTGGAGCTCCCGGTGGGGTCACGAAGCGTGTGAGGGATGTGCCGAACTGGATGTGCGTGACGCATGCGGGCGGTGACACTGGGGCCTTCGGTGGAGCTCCCCGTGGGGCCACGAAGCGTGTGAGGGATGTGCCGAAATCAGTGTGCGTGACGCATGTGGGCGGTGGCACTGGGGCCTTCGGTGGAGCTCCCTGTGGGGCCACGAAACGTGTGAGGGACGTGCCGAACTGTATGTGCGTGACGCATGCGGGCTGTGGCACTGGGGCCTTCGGTGGAGCTCCCTGTGGGGCCACGAAGCGTGTGAGGGGTGTGCCGAAATGGGTGTGCGTGACGCCTGCGGGCTGTGGCGCTGGGGCCTTCGGTGGAGCTCCATGTGGGGCCACGAAACGTGTGAGGGATGTGCCGAAATGGGTGTGGGTGACGCGCGCGGGGGTTACCACTGGGACCTTCGGTGGAGCTCCCTATGGGGCCACGAGGCGTGTGAGGAGTGTGCTGAAATGGGTGATGACGATGATGATGGAAGGAAGGGGCAGCGGGAGGAGGAGAAACTCGGGGACCGTCTCTTCAAAACGAGAACCCAACACCACAGGATGGTTGGGAAAAAAATGGCCCGTGAGACTCCGAGGTTGATCCCCGAGAGGGCTCCAGCGGGCTCAGGTGGCCCCGAGATGGCCAAACTGGTCCCGAGATCGCCTGAGTCAGTCTGGGGATGGGGGAGGGCCCCCAGGACCCCCCACCCCCCTCCCGTACGTACCCCTCCTGGCCCCCTCTTGGGCCTCTCTGGGCCCTATCCCCACTGGCGGGGAAGGGGCTTCATGCGACTGGATTGCCACCTGGGGCCGAATCATCTTGTGTTGGCGAGGTGGGAGAGCTCCGGGTGGCTGCTAGAAGTGCGTCTTCTGGAAGGACCTGGGGGCGACTACCCCAGGCTTCACCCTCACATACGTCAACAGGGTCGGCGGATTCAAAGGTGACGTTCGCAATGTTGCCAGTCTTATCTCATACTCCCCCCCTGCACGGGGGGTCTTACACTTCTGTAAACCATGTTTACAGGGTACTTCGATGTATCTGTAGATTCGCTCTCGGCTTCCCCACCGCCGCAACTGTTCTGAGTGGTGAGTGGTGACATGCACTGCCATAAGCAATGCCATACGCAATGCCTAACCAACTTACCCTGAGCTACTCACTTTCACAATCGTAGTGTTCTGAAGAGGACCCTATTTACCCCCCTGTGCCCCTACTTTCATCGGGGGAGACTGGCTGGATACCACGTGATACACTACGAACACCTTAGAGTGCTTGCGCAGGTTAACTGGTCTACTTGGCACCCTCTGTGGATCAACAGGAGGAGTAAGAGGAGGAGGATGAGGAGGACGAGGAGGAGGAGGAGGAGGAGGAGGAGGAGGAGGAGGAGGAGGAGGAGGAGGAGGAGGAGGAGGAGGAGGAGGAGGAGGAGGAGGAGGAGGAGAGGAGGAGGAGCTGGGATAGTGGAGGAGGAGGAGGAGGAGGAGTGGAGGAGGGAGGAGGAGGAGGAGGAGGAGGAGGAGGAGGAGGAGGAGGAGGAGCATTTCAACGTACGTTGCGCGATGATTGCAGCGAGTCCCCGAGGCTTGCGCCACGCCTGCCACCGACCACCGAGGGGTAGGCTGGGCGACTGCCACCTGGGCTGCGCGGGCGGGCCGAGCACTGTGAGGCGCAGGAGGGGGACGAAGAGCGATGCGGCGCTCGGCAGGGACCGGGATGCCCCTGGGGGGAGGCATCGGAGGAGCAGACCAGGTCCAGGAAGCAGGGTTTTCTGCAGGGACCTATTTCGGCAGACCAGGTCCAGGAAGCAGGTGTCCAGATCGGAGAAGCATCCTATTTCGGCAGGGACCAGGATGCCCTTAAGGTCCTCTTGGAGGCGATGATAGGGGCGAACAGCCCCGGGGCGGACATTGCACGCGTTCGCCGGGGAACCCAGCCAAAGGCAGTCACCATCCGGGCCGTTTGCCCCCACCGTCGCCCCCGAGGAGCGGGCCGCAGGCAAGGCCGGTCGGCGGGGGTTCCTTGGCATCTGGAACGGCTCCAGTGCCCTACGAGGGCTGCGTTGGGAGGTTTTTTTTTTGTGCTCGCAGTGGCAGAGAGAAGGGCCCAGGGAAGAGTCCCGCAGGGGGGGGCGGCCCAGTCGGGAGGCGGTCCGGCAGCCGCCTCGCCCGAGACTTCCGCGCAGTTATTATCAGGGGGCCACAGGCGAACCCTGCCCCATACCCCCCACGATTTCTGAGGGGGGGGGTGGGGTTCACTCCGCTCGGGGGGGGGGCCACATGCGAACCCTACCCCTGCCCCCAAACGATCTCTGAGGGGGAGGGTGGGGTTCACTTCGCTCGGGAGCTCCCGAGCGAGGTGAACCCTCCACCCCCCCTTCTGAAATCGTTTGGGGGGTAGGGGGTAGGGTTCGCATGCGCCCCCCATAAATTATTCCAGTCGTCGTGCTCTTGCCTCAGTGCCGGTCATGTGTTGTTGGTCTGGACGGGTGCAGGGGTCGCACGGGGCACGAGCGGCGTTCTCGTGCTCGGACCTGCTCTGTGCGTGCTCGGTTTTACCCGGTCCGGTCGGGCGGGCGAAGCATGCGCCAACAAGGCGCACATGGCTCTGCCGCCGAGGCGCACATGTGGCTGTGCTCTCACCCCCGGTTTCCCATAGCCGACCTCCTGCCCTTCGACCCGCCTCCTCGCCCCTGCCGCTATTGTCGGGGTGCTCCGCCGGGGCGTTTTTTTTGCATCCGAGCGTTCTCCCCGAGCGGTGGCCTCGCTCCTCGAGGGACGAGAAGCTCTCCCTCGAGCGACGTGGGCGTCTGCACCAGGCAGTCCTGGGCGTTGCCAGGAAGCTCCGCCCTTCTCGATGCCTTCCTGGTGCGCTTGCTGCACGCCCTCGCTTGTCGGGGTGCTTATCATGAGGGTGGTTGTTCCGCCCTCTGGCGAAGAGGCTGTTGCTTTGCCTCTGAGGAGAGGGCCTTGGTCGTCGTGCTGTCCGACGGCCGCTCTCACGATCCTTTCCCTGTCTGCCTCTTGGAGACCTCTTCGGGGCCTCCTCGGCACCTCTTGATGGCCTTTGGGGGGCAACTGGGGATCCTCATTAGGGGTCTTGGGGCAATCTGGGGGGTGGGTTCCAGAGCATGTTCTGGGTCCCTTTCCCCCTTTGGGCCTCTCTTGAGGCCGTGTCGGAGGCCTCCTGGTCCCCTCTTCATCCGGGACGCTCTCACGACCGGGACGGCGATACTGCCAGAATCGTACAACACATCCGGATTTGGGGGTGGTTTTGTAGTCGTGAGCCGCCCTTTTACGGCCCCCAGTACGGCCCGACAGCCCTCCGAGAGGGCGCCAGGACGGGCTCGGGCGTGTGTGGGGAAGGCATATGGGCCCAGAAATCAGCCGACGTATGGGCAACGTCAGGGGGCGTCGTCGCCGCCGTCGTCAACAACATGATGCCTAGGCTTCCGACCACGATTCCGAGGCCTCGAGACCACGCGGCACGCTCCAGGAGCACGCCGCAGCCCGCAGGAGCCTAACAAGTGCACCCGTTGATCGGGGGGTTGTGGCCCCGAGCCGGCGTCCAAACCCAGTTACGGGTTACCGAGGGCCCGGTGACATTCCCGGACATGTCAGCGGCACCGAGGCTCGAGAATCAGGGGATCACGAAAACTTACCATCGAGTGCGTTTCACCGACCATGCAGGAACACGTTTGCACGGTGCGCTGCGATGATGACACGACGCAAGAGCGACCGCAGTTGATGAGAAGCAAGCGAAGCAAACAAAGGCGACGTCCGACATGCACACTGGAAGTTTGCGCACCCTTCTCATGCGTTTCTTTTCTCTCCTTCCCTCCCCACTCCCCCATTTCCCTTCTTGCGCTTACTATCCCCTTCTCCTTCTTCACCCCCTGCTGATGATGCTGCTCCTCCAGCCCATCCCTTCGGCCGCCCCTCTCTTTGTGGAGCCCTCGCTGGGCGTTCCCGGCCCGAGGACAAATGCCGTAGCCTCCTGAGGAAGGAGATGAAAGCCCAGCCCGCAGACATCGTCAATAGGGGAGCAAGGGAGAAGGAATGATTTGAAGAGGGCGAAGAGGGGCAGGAGGAGGAGGAGGAAACAGAGGCGGGGAGGAGGAGCGGGAGGGTTATTCTATGTATGTATGTATGTATGTATGCATGCATGCATGCATGCATGCATGCATGCATGTATGTATGTATGTATGCATGTATGTATGTATGTATGTATGTATGTATGTATGTATGTATGTATGTATGTGTGTGTGTGTATGTATGTATGTATGTATGTATGTATGTATGTATGTATGTATGTATGTATGTATGTATGTATGTATGTATGTATGTGTATGTATGTATGTATGTATGTATGTATGTATGTATGTATGTATGTATGTATGTATGTATATATATATATGTGTGTGTATGTGTTTTGGGCAGGCCTAGCGCCCGGTGCTGCCGACCCTGAAGGGGGACGGTAACGACGGCGGCGGCGGCGGCAGCGGCGACGGCGACGACGACGCCGACGCTCTGGAGCCTTCCTTGGGGCTCTCTTGGGCCTCTCTTGGGAGCCTCTTGGGCTCCGCTGGGGCTTGGGCTGGCCCCGCGGCTGGGGCCAGGGCCAGGGCTTGGGCTGGGGCCGCGGCCGAGGCTGGAGCACGCCCGGGGCCGGGAGCATCTGGGTGGCGACCCCCCCCCCGCCGGGACACCCCCAGGACCCTCTCTGGACCCCGCCCGGGACCCCCCCCCCCCCCGGCGCGGGGAAGGGATCAAGGAGAAGGGGCTTCTCTTCGATTCCACTCCGATGTTGTTCAGTTTTGCTTTGGGCGGCGCGTATGAGGAGGAGTGCCCAGGCAGATGGAACAGAGGAGGACGGAGACGACGACTCCAACGGAAAAGGGGGGGGAGTCCCCCTGGTTTTGATCGGCGGCGCCGAGAGTTGGTGGGGTTTGGGGGGGAGGGGAGTCCCCCTGGTTTTGATCGACGGCGCCGAGTGTTGGGGAGGGGGGGTGTTCCACCCCCCCAGTTCGAAACGCGCCGCCGAACGTTCCCAAGACAAGCGCCCGTGAAACGCGCTCTCCCTCATGTATATATATTTATATATATATATAGGTACACACATACAAACACTTATGTATGTTTATATATATATATATGTGCATATACGTATCCATATATTTACACATGTATGCATGTATGCATGTGCATATGTATGTGTATGTTTGTATATATGTGCATATGTATGTGTATGTTTGTTTATATGTGCATGTGTATGTCTATGCATCTGCAATTGTATATGTATATGTAGGTGTCTGTGTATACGCATGTGCATGTGTATGTGCATGTGTACATGTATACGTATATGTATGTGTTTGTGTATATGTATATGTGCATGTATTTGTTTATGTATTTCCATCTCTCTATATATAAATGTATGCATATGTATATGTGTGTGTATACGTATTTGTATATGTTTCTGTGCATGCACCTTATGCATGTATGCATGTTTGTACGCATGCATGCATGTATGTATGTATGCATGCATGCATGCATGTATGTATGTATGCATTTATACATGTGTATGTATGTATGTATGTATGTATGTATGTATGTATGTATGGATGCATGCATGCATGCATGCATGCATGCATGCATGTATGTATGTATGTATGTATGCATGTATGTAGGTTCGTCTATGTATGCATGCATGCATGGTATGTTATGTATGTATGTATTCTTGTATGTATGTATGCATGTATGTATGCATGCATGCATGTATGTATGTATGCATGGATGTATGCATGTATGAATGTAATGTATGTATGCATGTATGTATGTATGCATGCATGCATGCATGCATGCATGTATGTATGTATGTATGCATGTATGTATGTATGTATGTATGCATGCATGTATGTATGTATGTATGTATGTATGTATGTGTGTATGTATGTATGCATGTGTTTATATATATATATGGATATATATATATATATATATATATATATATATATATGCGGGGGTCTCCTTGGGGTCTTTGGGGGGTCTCCTTGGGGTCTGTCGGGGGCCTATTGGCGGCCTCTTGGGAGCCTCTTGGGGCCTATTGGGACCTTTTTGGGGCCTCCTGGGGCCCTCTCGGGGCGGAAAGGT